TGTTTTAGCTACTAACTATTTGGTTGCAAAAACTTATTTGGTTATGTTTTTGCTACTAAATTATTAGTCGCCAAAACATTTGATTACGTATTTGGCTACCAAAATATTTGGTGGCCAAATATATATATATATATATATTTTTAAATTTCTGAACAACCTGTATCCATTATTAGAACAACCTATATCCATTATTAGTACAACCTGTACCCTGTATAAACAATATAATCTATTAACGCTAAATATATTATCAATCATTCAACAACGTGCACACATTTCATTTCCAACCATCCAAAAAATTAATATTGAACGTCCAATTCTATATATAATACAAATTCTATACGAACCAAGTCTAATCCAACGTCAATAATTTAATTCCATACATAATACAGGAATAACCACATTAATTAACAAAAAGGACATATGTGCCACAACAAAAATTTAATCTGTACTACCCCAAAACTATTTTGTACGACGTGCTATGCTAATTTTTACCATGCCAAATTAGCTGATATTTGCCACACCAAAAAAGTAATTTGTATGAACCACTATATATACAAATAGAGGTATAAAAACAATGCCCTCTCGTACTTGTCAAAAAAATTCATATCCACATTTGTATGTCCAAAACCAAAAAATAAATAAATAAATAAATAAATAAAATCGTTAGTTTGGTGCCTATAGAGGCACTTTTGGACGACATATAGCAACTGTATTAATTTCAAACATTAAAATACAAGGACATTAATAGCTATTAAATAATGAAAGACACCCAAACATGGACTGGTAGACGAGCATTGATTCTATGAATTAATAACAAAAGTTATGTTTATGGCAATTAAAAGGGCCACAGCCAACAAAAGCACGAAACAATTTATCAAAAATATTGTTCTACATAAACTAATAAAGAAAGAGTTAAACAAATTATAATTTAAGATGGTATAACGAAAATAGTTACCCACGACATGGGCATTTCCTGTTCTACCACATAAATACATTGTCGCCCCCCAAGTGCTTTTTTCAACTATTTTTATGGCATTTTCAACTCTAACTCCCAACATAGGTGTCCTATTTACGTACCGTCTATCCCTACATGTCACATTTGGCACCAGAAAGCTTCCTGTTACGTAAAAATAGTGGTTCAGGGGGTGTTTTGCATTTTCGCCCCCCGAACCCCTTTTTTCGACTAAATTTATGACATTTTCAACTCTAACTCCCAACGTAGGTGTCCTATTTACGTATTGTCTGTCCCTCCATGTCACATTTGTCACCGGGAAGCTTTCCGTTACGTTAAAACAGTGGTTCGGGGGGTGTTTTGCATTTTCACCTACCGAACCCCTTTTTTCGACTAAATTTATGACATTTTCAACTCTAACTCCCAACGTAGGTGTCTTATTTACGTACCGTCTGTCCCTACATGTCACAGAACAATTCATAAAAATATTTTGAACCCTTTTTTATATGGAAATTTTTGCCTGAAACTAATTCCGATGACCATTCGAGGCTATAAATTAAGTACTAAAATATATCATAAAACAGTGTGCGAAAATGGATCAATAAATGAATAATTCAATTAAGATATGTCATGACTATACAAACAAATCAGTCCAAAAACCCAATCTATCAGAGTTTTAGCCCATTCATAAAATGCTAACAATTTCATAAAGATAAATAAGCATTCCATTGCATCTTCCACAATTGAAAGAATATCATTCTTGGGGAAGTTTGTAAACTTATAGTTATCAATTCTTCAAAACATATATTCATTGTTACACAGACAACATGTTTTTGGTTAATCTTATGTTGCTTATCCTGCACTAGAAAACAAAATAGTTGAGTAATGGGGGTAAATAAAACAGTACCACTTCGATTTTCCCAAGAGCAACATCTAGCTTCTTAGAGAGCTCAGAATTTTCATTTTTTAAGGCTACAATTTGCAATAACTTAGAAACAAGGAAATAAGATTACAGATTTGTGAAGAACAAAAAGGCACAACAAGGCACTAAAGAAATATAACCTTCTTTTGTGAGTCAATATACAAGCTTTTGTAGTTGAGATCAGCAGAAAAGCTGTCACATTGGAAGTGTCTCTTGGGTGCCTGTTAAACATTTTGATGAAAACACACATACAACAAAATAAATAAATAAATGAAGAAAATATTTTAATAAAAAACTGAAGAATAATGGCGAAAGATAATGAGGTTAGTGCCAATTAATTAAATGCCTTAGACTTCAATTCTTCTACAGCTTGAACAAAGATGCCGAATATGGATATGCAAATATGCATCTATAGTTTGAGAAAGAGAGAGAGAGAGAGAGAGAGAAAGAGAGAGAGAGATGATGATGGAAGAAAGAAAAAAAAAAGATGCCGAATAATACAGAAAAAGAAGAAAAAAATAGCAGCAAAACAAAGAAACATAGAACCATTACCGGCGTCAGTCGGTCACTCACTCGCCGCCATTGTTTGCTGCTCGCACCGTCGTTGGTCACTCCCCGCCGTCGTTTGTTGCTTGCTGTCGTCGCATGCTGCTCGATGTTGTCGTTTGTTGCTCGCCGTTGTCTGCCGTTGCTCGCCGTCTCTCTATCTCTCTCTCTCTCTCTCTGAGACAGAGACAGAGCCGTAAGAAGAGATTAGGGATTTTGGTTGAAGGGGATTTTGGTTCAACAAATTGGGGATTTTTAGTTAAGGAGGGGAAAATCGAGCGGGAATGGAAAAAAAAAAAAGCTAAGCTTCAGATTTTGGATATTTTTTTCTTTTCTTTCCCTCATAAATGAATATTTAAACAACAAAACGACGCCGTTTAACTCTTTTTTTTTTGCGACGGGGGTTTGCTGTCGCCAAAAAACTTTATTTTTTGTTAAAATAATTTTTTTTAGTTGATGAATTTTTTTTTTCATTTTTTTAGTTACTAAAGCTGAAAATTTATTTGTTTCATTTTTATTTTAACAAAAAAAATTATTATTATTTTTATTTGGTAGAAGTAGGGGTAACATTTTAATGAAAAATATTTTCTATTAAAATAAAGTTAATTTTTTGTGGTCAATGAAAAATATTTTTCTGCGACCCATTTTTTTTGGTTACTAAAAATCAGGAACTAATTTTTTGTGGTAGAGGAGATGAAGTGGCAGTAGTGGTGGTAGTGGAGTGGTGGCGATGGTAGTAATGGTAGTCGTAAAGATGGAGTGGCAACAATTGTAATAGTGGTGGTAATGGAATGGCATTTGCAGTAGTGGTGAAGATGGTAGAGGAGATGGGTGGTGAGAGAGAGAGATGGGTAAGAGATAGATAAAGGAGAGAGAGAGAGAGAGAAACAGAGAGAGAGAGACAAAGGGATAAGCGAGAGAGAAAGAGACAAAGTGGTCGCTAAAAGTGCATTTTCTTGTAGTGGATAGATAAACCGAGAGGGAGCTCAATAAATAGAGAAGATGAGAAGGAGAGAGTGAGCAAGGCGAACACAGTAGAGGAGAGAGAGAGAGAGACAGACAGACAGACAGACAAACAGACAGGCAAACAAAGAGAGAAAGAGACAGAGACAGAGAGAAAAAGAGATAGAGAGAGAGAGAAACAAGAGATGAGCAAGAGATAGACAAAAACAGAGAGAAAGAGAGCGAAAAGAGATAAACGAGAGAGAGACAGAGAGAGAAGAGAGATGAGCAAGAGAGACAGAGAGAGAGAGAGAGAGAAGAGAGCTGAACGAGAGAGATAGAGAGAGAAGAGATGAAAGAGATAGAGATAGAGAGAAGAGAGATGAGCGAGAGAGAGAGAGACAGAGAGACAGACGAACATACAGACAGAGAGAGAAGAGTGATGAGAGAGAGACAAAGACAGAGACAGAGAGACAGGAAGATGAAAAAATGGGTGAAAAGAGAAATGTTATATCAAAAGAGTAAGACGACGTCATTTTAAAAAAAAAAAATTGCAACAGAAAAATATCGTTGCATTTATTCAAACCATTTTGTGACTATATATATATGAAGCCGTCTTAAAGCCACAATATATATATATATATATATAGTTTGAAATGGTACCTATTACAATCGCAAAAAACTCACTTCTTTTTTTTTTTTTGTGACTGCAGCTGGTGCCGTCACAAAAACTCTATTTTTTCGCGACAGTAATCTTTGTTGTCACAAATACTCTTCTTTTTTTGTGACAACAATTTATGTCGTCCCAAATACTCTTCTTTTTCGTGACAGCTTTTTCTACTGTCCCAAATACTTTTTTTTTGCGATAGCAAATTGTGCCATCGCAAAAACTCACCTTTTTCACAACAGCAAATTGTGCCGTCGCGAAAACTCACCTTTTTTGCGACAGCAGGTTGTGCGGTTGCAAAAAGTCATTTTTTGACACGGCAAGTGTGCCGTCGCAAATGCTTCCATCTTTTAAGCCCACTTTTTTGTAGTGTACTCTCAAACATGTCATTCACTTATTTGGAGGAAAATTCTTAAGCCTTCTAAAATATTAATTCCAAATTTACTCGTAATATTTTTATATCCATCAGTTAAGATAATTCCTTAACTACCAAATCTATGATTCCAAAAGAAGGGAATGGGAGTTCCTGTTGTCTGTGAAGCATGGCAGGCACTGTTGTGTATGCTTTAAGGTGTATTTTGAATTTTATTTTGTCAAATTGAATTGTTTATTTTTTTTTAGTATACATCGTATAGAATATACGCAAAAAAAAAAAAAAAAAAAAAATGAACATGTGAGAATCTGGGACTCACAGGGCTACAAACCTCTGTTTGATCAAAAATCATGACTTAACCGAGCAAGTTCCTTATTTGTAGAACTTAGGGGAAAAACCGAGCTAATAAACGCGTTGGGCCGCTTGACCGGGCTAATATCTGGTCCGCTTGAGCGACCGAGTTGTTAAGCTTACCTATCGAGACAAAGGTGCAAATCATAATTCCACAACTCACAAACTCAAAATACAACTCATACTTTCAAATCATATTTACAAAACTCTACCAAACGCAACCAAAGACTTGCAAGGATCATTTGGGTGGAACAAACAACCGATGAAGAAGAAGTAAGATATCTAGAGAAGAGGTTTACAACTCTAAGGTTCAATGTATTATATCTCAGATTTTCAATCAAACAATCTAATGGCTAACAGATCTTTATCATGCCAAACAAATCAAAGTGGAAATAGAGATTGACACCTCTACTTTAAAAATAATTTATTAATTTAGTTTCTGGTTGCATGACAAATGAAAATTTTGTGTACAAAAGTGGTTAGATGAAGATGAACCTGTCGATTTACTCAGCTATGGTTCATCCCATTGTTTCTGGTCACTGATTCATATAACATATGCGATCACCCTCTTCCGACTTTTGTCTTTACTCCTTCAGTATTAGTCATGATGACATTACCTAAAGAGAATGAAAAAGTAAAAAAAAAAAAAGAAGTTAGCCATTCTGATGAGTAAACAGTTTGTTCAAGTACTTCACTGGGATGAGGACCACCTTTTCCGTAGTCTGACTGAATCTTTAGGTAAGCTTTGAAGCATCATTGCCCTTGTCTTACCATCAGGTTTAATACCCCTCTTTTGCATTTTTGTGTATAGTTTTGTTGCTGAACCAATCTTGCCTCTCAAACACATTCCTTGAATGGCAGCATTATAAAGAGATGCATCTGGGGTAACCAGCTGCAAAACAACTATATAAAGTAAGCTGCCGAATTCAGGGGTTTTACGGAAACAATAAAGGAGTGTAATAATGTTTTGTCTGATGAAACAATTTGTGAAAAACTGGTTGATTTTCAGTAACGACATGAAATATGTCCAATCATGTAAGTATAATTTCATATGCTCAAAAGACTAGCCTTATCCAATGAAATGCACTGAGCTACTTCATGAACTCATAAAATTAGTTTTTGCCATTGATACTAGGAAAGCAATCAAGGTTTCATTTTACCAAAAAAATGAAAAGATGAGGTATTGTTTCAATTCAGGTGAACATTTTTGGGCAACATAAAAATCAGCATTTAATTTTTCAGAACTTTCACTAATTACTGAATTTTTGATCATGAAAAGTAAAAAAACAAAGTTGAGGAGTCTCATGTCAATTACCAATATGACAAACTGCAGAGAGGCAGAGTGCAATTTATTTTTAAAAAAAATTCAAAGGTGAACTAACTTTGTTGCATAATGGACATTTGAAGGTAAATTTTAATAGGTTGCATAACAAGTCAATAAAGGTAGATAAGTTACATAATGGACATTTGAAGATATAGGTTGCATAACAAGTCAATAAAGGTAGATAACTTACATTTAGCATTTCCTCCACTTCATCCCAAAGAGAACCCCAGATACAACTTCTAAGTAGTGACAACAGAGTGAATGTGTCTGGAGCACACTTTTGGTGAACCATGTGCTCATACACCTGCAACGCAATTTTTGGCTTCCTTGCTACTTCACAAGCTCCAATAGCAAGATTATATGAGGCAGTCGAAACAGGAAGTCCAGAAGCTTCCATCTGCCACAGTAGCTGTAAAGCCTTATCCCAAAAACCAAGCCTCTGACAAGACATTAAACAGGTATTGTACAAATGTAAATTTAACAGAGAGCTTTGCTCATTTTTTATGCTTTCAAAGAGCTGAAGAGCATCGAAATGTTGATTTGCCCTATACAAGGCACCAATTAACGCATTCCATGTGTATGCATCAGGTTCATGACCCAAAGATTTCATGAGACTATAAACGCTAAATGCTAGCTTGACCTTCCCATCTTTGCCAAGTGAATTAATCAGTGCATTGCATGTGATTAGATTGGGCTTAAGCCCTCTTTTGAGCATACTTTCGAAAACATTTAGTGCCAATTCCCAGTTGCCTTCCTTACTACATGCTCCGATAATAGCTTGCATTGCATCATCACCCGGATTCAATCTATTTTGAACCACCTCTTGGTATGCGTCAATGGCTAGTTCATACTGGGCACAACGAGCAAATATACAAACTAACAGGCGATAAGTGACTGATGTTCCAATAACACCATTATTGTTCATACTTCTCCAAATTCTCAGAGCCCAAACCCAATTATTCACTTTCCCACAAATTGATATCATTGTGTTATAAACAACTGCATCAAAGCCTTTTTTAACATTACCTTCCCTTTCAAATTCTTCAAACATGTTCAGTGCTGCATCAACACCTTGAGCATTAGCAATTGCTTTAAGCACCAAGCTATAAGTATGGCCTGTGATATTTTCACTTGTTTCCATAAACCTAAAAATTATTAGAGCATCATCAAGCATTCCATTCCTCAAGAGGCATGAGATAAGAGAATTGCAGGCATGTGAAGTCGGTTGAATACCTGAATACTCCATGGACCTATACAATTCCATTGCACTTCTAATCTTATTTGATCTGCTAAGCCTCAAAATTCTTTCAGATAATATCTCTTCATTCCTTTCCTCTAGAAAATAAACCCTATTTTCATTCCTAGTGACCAACCCTTTTGAAATTGTTGAAGACTGATTCAAACCACTAGTTTCAAAACCCGAGTCCAGTTGAATTGATAAATTCCCTAAAGGAGGTGATTTCTGCCCCGCTTGGTTCACATCAATGTCTTCCTTTTCTTTTCGAACCAATTCATCATTTTCTTCACAAACAGACCCAAATTCAACACTAACAACCTTCCGCGGAACAATGAATGAATTATCAGACCCGGTAGACAACATGTTTAGGCCATAATTACCGGCACACCTTGTGTTTGATTTTATGTCTGAACCAAAGTATGCACAAGAAGGAACATGTGGATAATGGGTTCTATAATCTTGGCTACCTGACCTACATGAGTGGTGTTTCCAGCTATACCCAGATGACTTAATGGTGATTTGCAATGAATTCATCAATATTACTATCATATTTTGACCCAGAGAAGGACAAACCAACAAAATTGATATTGCTTCGTTAAAAAAAATCGCAGGAAACACAAATAATCAAACTTTGAACATGTTTATCTAGTTTGAGGCTTAGAAACAGCAATTGTTACCTGAAAAAAGAGGTCGAGTTTCACGATGCATAATCAACTGAAACGAAGCAAACCCAAGGTCTATAACTACGACTAGTGATATGTGTGAGAGAGAGAGAGAATAAAAATCTAAAAACATACTTGTAAAAAAAAAAGGTACAGGAGAAGAAGAAAACGACGGCGTATTGAGCTTGGTGCCCTTTCAGAAGAATAAAAATAAGGAGTGAGTGAGTTTTATTTGTGTCTCTTTTGAGAGAGAAAGATCGGTATAGGCGTCACTCAAGCGAGTTTCTGACAATTCCAGGGAAGAAAGGCTCGATGGGTATGTTTGTCGATCGGTTTCAGCAAATGGGTTCTCAGCAATATCCCATTCTCAATGACAAATATTAAATTTTTACACAAACACACATATATACATCTATATATATGTATATGTATTGATGGTTGGATGTTGGGGTGTAGATGAAGAATCATCGACGAAGAAAGGGGCGGTGATGGAAGGGGTTGCATCCATAGCATTGCTTCCATGTGGGTCCATCTCAGGACACTTCATTCAGCTTCCCCATTCTGTCTGCTATGGCCTCCATGGCACTGGTACAATCTTTCTATCTTTGTCTACATATACATTTACATTTACATATATGCATATAAAACATTATGTTTATGTGCAGTAAATTTAGAGCATCTGCAATACTTGCTCTCTTTTTTATCACGAGTGAAAATTTGGTTAAAAACTTGATAGGCCTGGATCTCCAATCCTTACTTTTTATTTTTATTACTAAAAATTTAAACTTATTCTAAATCTGTTTTAACAACTTTTTATAAATGGAAATCATTTCTAATCCTTACCCTTTGTAAGGGGAACAAATATTCCCTTGCTTCCGTACTCCTCGTTGTCCAAGCTCCTCATGGCTCCGAATGACGTTGTTCAATCTGAAACCACAACAACGGTGAGCTCTGATCATAAGATGTTCCAGACTTGTGTATGGAGGCGCAACATCGTTTATATAGTTTCTACACGCGCTTTTGCGCCCATTCCCCTCTGGATGCGTGGACCTACTCCTCTCACGTTCCCCCATGTGTCAGTGCTAATACAGCTAAACACCACAAAACGAAACCGCCAAACGGTATTGATGCGTACGGACAGCGGGATCTCCTTCTTGCAGTCTCGTCACGCTGCGTAGTACTTCCCACCGAGCTATTCTTAGTGCGGTGCCATGCCATCACCTTACGACCAAGTTACTTGTCCGGTCTCATCGGTAATTCTTGATCACGTGCTCAACCGAGCTCCACAGTCAGGACCGAGCTTCTGCCCGGTCGAACCTGATCTTTTGAGGACTAATCCCGTCCAACTTAACGGAGCTCACATCTCCACCGGGCTAGCAGTCCAAAGTTATCCCAACTTGACCGGACTGAGCCCTTGGTCCAGCGCGCACCCAACGTCCGACCGAGCAAGGACCCTGACTTCGGCCCAACTTAGCTCGGCCCACTGTTAGGTCATAAATCTCCCTTTCAATTGCCCTTTAATTCCGTCTGCGCTAGCGTGACCGGGATTACATTCAGAGGCCGAGCTTATTCCCTTACTCGGTCATCGCTGCCTGGCTTCACGCCTAGCCATCTGTGCTCCCAGACCAGTTCACCACCTTCAACCAGGCTGGTTAGCATGCTCGGTCGTATAGCTTGCCTGGTTGACGTTTTGGGTTTCTAGCCTGTCTTCTTAAGACTAGCACCGGTCTCATCATAGACACGTGGCGTTCACTAATTGGCCTCGTGTCACTTATCCTGCTATCACGCGCTGTCTCTCCAATTTCAAACTTTGGCGTCTCTTCACCTCAGATACATATATCGCACGCCTCTTCACGTTTCTTCCTCCACTATTTATCTTCTTCTCAGACGACCCAGCAATCCAGAGCATCCAGCCTTCGATTTCCGTTCATTGTACTAAAATCAGAGCATTCTCTAGAGTGGATTCGGTTCCGTCGTCGTCGCTGAGGCTCTATCTCACCGATTGGAGCTACGATTCGTGCCCTAACCTGTAAGTCCTCAACTCTTCCATTGTTCGTCGTTTGTTCCTCGTGCTTTTCTCGTGTTCTTAAACTCTTAAATCCCATAGACAAGTCTAGGGCATGATAACAGTAGCCACACAATGCTGAAAATGAGGTCAGGCTAGGGTTTTTGTCCCATTTTGATGACATAAAATGTCTTCGCCCCTCGTCTTCGACATTGTTCACCATCTTCTATGATGAAAATGTGAGAATCTGGGACCGACCGGGCTACAAACCTCCGTTTGATCAAAAATCATGACTTAACCGAGCAAGTTCCTTATTTGTAGAACTTAGGGGAAAAACCGAGCTAATAAATGCATTGGGCCGCTTGACCGGGCTAATATCTGGTCCGCTTGAGCGACCGAGTTGTTAAGCTTACCTATCGAGACAAAGGTGCTATTGCGCCCAAAGTGACCGGGCTAAAGTCGAGTTCGTTTGCGCGCTCGCGCTGTCACTTACACTTGGTTTTTAACTGCAGAGTCCTAGGGGACCAGGCACACCAACACAAGGGTTCTCCAAGACTGAGCAGCCACCGTGCAAAACTTTGCCAACTTAATACTGCCGTGCTAAACAAGCCGGCCTCCCATGGGGTGCTACCGCTTCCTTGTTAGCACGCCGGGCCCGTTGGCCGCGCTCCGAGAAGAGTTCGGCGTTCCGGTTGATGTGCATTTGGAGCTCGGCGATGACATAAACCCATGGGGTAGGTTGGAGTCCTACCCCTTCACCGTGTTAAGTATAGTTGAAGGGTTGTGCTTCCCGATGCAGCCCCTAATGTGCAAGTTTTTGAGATACGCAGGGCTAGCCCCCACACAAGTGTCCACAAACACTTTTAGGATCATAAATGGAGTGACCGAGCTGAACAACCGGCTAGGACTACAATTGGGTCTGGCCGAGATACTGCATCAATACACGCTCGGTCGAACAAAAGACGGTTACAACTATTATTTGAAAATAAGACCGAGCAAAGAACGATTAGTGACCGGCACGCTAGACAAGGACATGCATGATGATGATTTCTTCTGGGTGTCCGGTAACTATGAAACAGCTAACGTGCCCGGTTGGTATATCAGCAAGGACTTCGGTTCTTCTTGTAAGCCGATCTTTTTGACTGGTTGATTTTGTCAATATTAATTGTGCCAAGCTAATTGCCTTCCTTTTGGAGCTATCGAAGAGTTGCAAGCCAATTATCAGTATCCAAACGAAGAGGAGATTAGGGCCGCGCTGAGATATAGGCACTGAGATTGTCACGAGCTTCTCGATTACGTACCGACCTACCGTTATTCAACTCCCCGCAAGAGCAAGGTTACAGACTTTCTGTGGGCGCCTTCTCCACCTCCTAACCCAACACTTCTAGACGTTCCCCTTATCCGCTTGACGGAGGAGCAGGAAATGGCAAAGAGGAGTCAAATTAAGAACCTCATCACCGCCACTTCAACCAAGCTACCGAGCAACCCTTCTCCTGCTTCATCCGTCGGACCGAGTTCACGGACCGTGATTGCCTTGGCCTCCACGGCCGCTCCATATGCTGAGTCTCGTCGTGCTGGTAAACGGGCCCGGTTGACTGATCCATCAGTCGAGTTGGAAGCCGAGCTCAACATCGAGCATGCGGCAACCGAGATCGAATCGGTTCCGACCTGGGAGCCGAAGTTGAAGTGTCGGGGAAATCCTATCCCAACGAACGCTTCGATGAAGTGCGACAAGGAACACCTCCTCGCTTTTGATCTTTCAAAGTTCCTGCTTCTGCTCGAAGACATGGTGGGGACCGAGCACGTGCTAGGCACCCGGATGGTGTCCTATGCCAACGACGTCTTCAACGCTCTGCAAGAGGAGGCCGAGGAGGAGAAGGCAGTCAAAACTAGACCGGCCAAGAGGAGCGCGGCGACGCAACCACCGTGGTGAACTTGGAGGAGGCCATCGCCAGAGCTGGAGACAAATTTGTTGATCTTTCCCCTCTCCCCTAGTTTAAATTTGTGCTCTTTGTTGTTTTCTTTTGGAAGTCTTTTGTGACCGGGTTACTAGCCCCCAACTTTTGTACTTAAAATTATAATCAATGAAAATTTTACAACCGTTGTTACTTGCAATGGCATTGTGTTTCTTTGTTACCACCATGCTATATACTTGAACAGAGCATCCATTCATGTAACCGGGCAAAACATCTTGGCCAAAAGTCAGAAGTTGAACAAGACATCAACTCTTCTTGCCGAGCAGAACATCTCGTCTAAAAATTCAGAATCGAACAAAGCATCAACTCCTCTAGCCGGAAAAAACGCCTCGTCTAAACTTGGGGTTGATCAAGTCATCAACTCTCGTAGCCAGAGAAATCATCTCAGCTAAAAACTTGGAGTTAAACAGGCCAATAACTCCTGTTACCGGGTGAAGCACCTCGGTTAAGTACTTGGAGTTGAACAAATCATCAACTCTAGTGGCCAGGCACAACACACCCAAGCCAAAAGCGTTGAGTTGAGCAATTCATCAACTTTTTTGACTGGGCAAAATTACCTTGGTTAAAAGCTTTAAGTTGAACAATCCACCAACTCTGTTAACCAGGTAATATCACATCGGTTAAAAGCTTTGAGTTGAACAATTCATCAATTCTTTTAACCGGGTAAAATCACCTCGGTTAAAAATTTTGAGTCGAACAATTCATCAACTCTTTTAACAGGGTAAAATCACCTCGGTTAATAGCTTTGAGTTGAACAATTCATCAACTCTTTTAACCAGGTAAAATCACCTCAATGAAAGCATTGAGTTGAACAATTCATCAACTCTTTTAACCTAGTAAAATCACATTGGTTAATAGCTTTGAGTTGAACAATTCATCAACTCTTTTAACCGAGTAATATCACCTCGGCTAGGAGACAGTTGTCCCTTGTTCATTGCAATCCATTAACCACGACAAATTTTCTATGTATAGTAATTCATTTTTATTACATATAGCTTTCATAAATTCACACAGTGACTAAAAGAATTTACATTAGCAAATGGAGGGGAATGCTTGTCCCTTGCAAAAAATTACATCGAAGATTGAAACTAAAAATAATACGACTTCAGATTGGCTGTGT